AATACATTTCAATGGTTTACAGAACAGCACTAGAAATAAATATTTACTTTTAATTCAAGAAATGCACTAAATTGCTTCAGTCAATTTTCCTCCAATTCGGATCTTTCATCTTTCACCAGATTCTGGTGGCAAAATTCTATCTTGTAGCAAATCGTCGTACGAGCAAAAGAACAATAAGGTAGTTTATGGTTTCCTGATCGTGGCTTTCATTAATTCTTGTTTCGAATGATCGCGGAACAACAAAAGCGAATGGAATTTAATGTACGCCAAGCTGCACAGCATCAGAACGTCGCGGCACCAAACGATACTGGGCTCCGCGAGATATATTGCTTTTGCGTTTAATTGATTAGCGGCGAATCTTTTGCTTTCGCAATGAGAATTCGCAAAGCGCACACGCTCCACGTTGCACTTAATAAAACCGCAGTTTAATAATGCTGAGTGCGAATTAATTTTCAAACGTCGAATTTAATTGAGACTGGTAGCATAATAGAATAAAGTACATAAAACTATTCTTCAAAGTACTAAAATATATTGAATAAGCTACTTCAGATCCTAGTCATCATAGTCGATCGCACTTTTAAATCTTTTCTTTAAATCTATTCTGAATATGGAAAAGCGTCATTAAAAGTGAATTTGAAATACTGCAATAAAAGTTTAATTTAATTAATGTTATTGTAGTAGATTCGAAAAAAGCTAAATGTTAATAGTTTATAATTGCTTCTAAGTTAAAGCGATGAATTCAAGTATTCTTTTTTCGATATACTAAATCCTAGTTTTAAAATATTTAAGATATTATTTCCTCGCCGTACTTAAATAGTATTTTTTTTTTCAATTAATTAACTAATTCTTCAATCAGTTTTCTCTTAGTTATAATTTTGACAAATTTTTTAGCTCTCTTTGTATATATATACAAGGAAATAAATTAATTTATTTATAATTTTGAAAACCCCAAACAGTTCAAAACTATGTTTTCTGAACATATCATTAATCTTGAACACACTTTTGATACAAATCATCCTATCATTCTATATAAAGACAAAAACCTCTGAATTTAGAATGTTTGCAAAATCTTGTTATATTCATTTAAATTCTTCTAGTGTTAATAAACGCAAAAAAAATTTACCATTTTTTAACGTTTATCAAAATTCAATTATTTGAATCTAATTTATCTCTTAATTTTTAGTCTCATGTTTTGACTTGTTTATTTTTAGGTTATTTGGTTTCTGCAGCTTTAAGCCAGATCTATTATAAACCATATTTGATTTATGATTTGGTGGCACATATAAATATGTGCTTGTGTGTATATATGTATAGGAATATATATATAAAGTTATATTGTATGCGTGCCTATGTGTATGTTGATATATATTCAAAAGCGTAAAGCTAAATAAATAAAACAAATACCAAAAAATCATATTTTAATTCTGAAAGCGTGCTCAAATAGGATAATGATTATTTCATTCTCTGTTTGCATAACCAATGTGATTCGTGAATGTTAATAACTTTTAATCCGCCAAAATATAAATTGAATTTCTACTGAATAGCACGTGGAATATCGTCCTAAAACTGATATCTCCGTCTCTGGTCATAATATATGAGCTTTTAATATCGTCGGATTATGCATCCACTTACTACTGTGTGGTCGTATAACTGTTGTGTTTAACCGTCGGCCGATATTAATGCGGTTAACTTGTCTCGCACAACGACGAGCTCGTAATCTCCGGTTAAGAGCTTAAATTTCTGCACTTCTGTGATATGCACAAAGACGTTCTTGAGCTTCAGCTATAACCCAAAGTTCAGATGTAGACGTACGATATATTATATAAAGACGGGTACTAACCTTTTAGTATAATCTTAGAAGCGGGGGAATAGTTTAAGGAATAATTCGAGCTCCGGTGCGAAAATTGTACTAAATATTTTATTCAATTAAAATTATTTTAAATGCATGTTAATGTATGTTATTTCTTTGTCTCGATCGGATATGTAAACCACCCCGTATTATGTTATCTTAGCTACTGTCCCGCAGACAGACCCAGTATACAAAAGTGTGCAGTTGCTTCATTAAACGAATAATAATATTAGTTTAGTATATAAAGTTTTTTTCTTCTTTGTGTTGCTTTGAGTTCCTATTGTGGTGAATGCCATATCAACTCAGATTCCGTATCTTCTTAAATGCAACCAGTTAATTCGGATAATGTCGTCATAAACTGATCTTATTCAACTGAGCTTCGGGTAATTATGACAAACGTCGCACCCCATCGATGCTCGTAACTTCTGTTTATTGCTCGTTATTTTCGAGTTATTGACTACTTGTCATATAACAAACAGATCGTGCAGTTAACGACATGATTTCTGTTTGTTAGTAGTCGGGAGAATTTTTATGAGAACTTCTAGGTTGTGTGTTGAAATGACTTTTCCTCAGACATCATTGCGCAGAGCTCGGATAATCGATATGTTTTCTTCACTTTATATAAATTATATTAATTTTGTTTTTTTTGCTTATATATTTGCCATGTCTATAATATTCATTCTTCTTTGAAATCTTCTTTGATACAATATTTTTGTATAGCTGAACCACAAAAGATTTATAATCTGTGAGAAACAGTTGCAAATAAACTGAGTTTCCCAGATCATAATTCGGCAGCTTATTCGAGTAGAAGATAAGAAAACCCTCTTATACGACGAGGGGCGATATCAGCACGCGACCTACATATTTACTATAGAATGGAATGGCCGATATTTATTAAACTTGAACATTTCTTTATATATTCAGTTGAAAAGTTAATAATTAATTTCAGGTTTATGATAACATAAAGTATTGCTTATACGTTCGATATTTTGGAATACACTCCATACTCCAAATTTTGCCTGCATAGTATAAGAGTAAATTTTTTATATGTTTATTTCTACTCAAATCTTCGAATTAGTTCATTAATTTAAAGTATGACCAATTACTTTTGTGAATATGTTTCAAGTTTATAAGGATAATAATAATAAGAAAAATCCAACTTTTCAAACAATTTTAATTCCAAAGTGGATAACTCTTGGACATATTTTAATTTTTTTTTAATATTTGCATTGGTGCCGATGTTTTCATTATTAGTTTCATTCCATTTTTATTTTTATTATATAATGATAATAAAAATAAAATATAAGGCATTTCATATGCTATATTTTTTCATCATATTTTTAACTTGTACTTTAACTTTATTCGCATTCCCAGAGCCGCATAATATTCACCCATGCCTAATATGTATTTTAGAAATTAAGATTTGGCTTGCTTTCCTTTTTAACCACACTTGCACTAAAAAGATCTTAAGCTTCCTGATGATTCAAAATTCTCTGTATCAAATTTTTTTCACAAAATATATATTATATAATTACTTTTTTTTATTAAAAAGGCAAGAAGTTGACCAAAATTGTGACAAAACATACATTATTTCTATAGTTCACCAAAATCATGACAAATTGGTATACATAATTATTCTAGAGATATGCGAGGTTGTTGGCTCCGCGCTCAGTGCTATTTAAACAAATAGTATGTTCTCAAGAACCGGTGTTGCGAATTTGATGAAACTTGACACACATTGTTAACATGATTCACAAAAATGATGATTATTCAATTTAAAACAATAATTTTGTTAAATTTTGTATTCCAGCGTACGTGCAAATTTACGCTTCTAAGCCTTAATATTTTACGACCAAGAGTGATCTCATTTATCTACTTACTACACCTTCATAAATTTAAAATGGTTAGAACAAGACCACGAATCGAATGTACATATCCGGAACGGAATCTCTAAATCCCTTCGCGCGACATATCAATTTCCATTATCTGCCGAAGCCGTTACTCTTTACGACCGACAGAGGTGTGCTGTTAGGGACGATGTTAACATGTAGTTATGTGCGCCCGGTGCTACAAATCTACATATTACAAGCTACGGTAACATATTTAGAACAATGTTTATGTGAAATAGAATCTTGAATATTGTGCAAAAAATGTGATAAAGCGCGAACCAAAGCTTCATAACGGATCTTGTGTTAAAACGAAGTCTACAAGGTGACAATAGGTCCCGGTGTGGCCGGGACGATCTCGGATTTGTACCTTGTGTCCCAGGTTTTTCTAAAAATTGATTGTACCGGTTTAAAAGATAAGATATAATATCGTAGACAAATTACATATACATATACACAATTTAAAAATAAAGTTCTTACTAAAAGTCCGCAACAATGATTTAAAAAGAAGATTCATATAAAAAACTTTTTTTATTGTATCTTTAAATGGCATTAAAGGCATTTTAAAAACCTACCTCCCCTCCTATCACAGATTTTCATAACTAAAAATAGTCGTCCCGTTTTTGACTTACGATTAGAAATATTTTATATGGCCTTACATTTATTTAACAGTGTTTAATTTTTTAGTTTATATATTTTTGCAAAGAAATTCTCTAAATATATTATATTATAGAGTAGACCATTCGCTGATTTCGAGATCTAACACTGTGTGTTAGCATGATAATGCTCACGTGTCATATATTTTAACGATTAATAATAATTAATAATGCAAATTAATAATTTTAATGTCCTACTGTATTTGGCTAAGTAATCTGGTATAATATATTTATAACAATATAGTTTATGACAAATTATGACATAATACCCAGCTGCTTTACAAACTATAATAAATAACATTAGTGTACATTTAATACTATAATTTTTCATAAATCGATTTAATTTGATCGTTGCGATAAACAGAATGGCACATTTCATACAATGTGTAGAAGGTATCATGCATTTCAATTAATTATAAATATATAAATTTGTTAGTATTTTAGGTCGAAATTTTTCATTCATTTCTTAATTCTTTGTTATCTGATAGAGCTTTAATTTTTCCACATATTTTTGAACAAAATTTGAATTACTATTTACATCCATTATATTGGGTCAAGTGTAATATTCATTACACTATTACAAGACATATAATTTCAATTTTTTTGCAGAATCGAGGTTCAGGCCTAGATATGAATGTCATACCAGCTTGGAAAGAAGGAATTACCGGTAAAGGAGTTGTTGTCACGATTTTGGACGACGGTTTGGAGAAAAACCATCCTGATTTGATTCGAAATTATGTAAGTTAATTTTTGTTTATTGATACCTGCATATGCACATATATAATTATAAGAACAATAAGAGTTCGAAGCGATTCTTTATTGTCTTATTACAATTAATTATGGTTTTCTTTTTAACTATAAATTATATTTTAGATTTGTTTTCAAGAGTATTTCTTATTCTTATACCATAAGATGCATTAAAACTATTATGAAGTACACAATGATGACTACAATTGCATTGAAGTAAATATTTCATTATATCGACAAAAGAAACTTTATTGAGTTCGATTTATTAAATAATTGGAAAATAAATGAACAGTTATACGATTGTTTCTGAGAAATATTACTGCATTTGATATAATCAAATAATATTTCATAACAAGTTTTCAAACTTGTGTTAATCATGAAATAACTACATCATAAATATATATTAAAGATAATGAATGAATAATTTTGTTAAAGTTAAATCTGTATTTCACGTACACTTTATTCCTCTATGAGTAGAGTTATTAAATTAAACAATAAATTTAAAAATATATATATGACATTTTGTACAAAGCCAAAAATATAAATGATTTTCTCATTTAATAGTGTTGTTAAAAATGTATTATCCGCTATGCATTTATAAACTTATTTTCAGGCATTTCGAATGAAAGTTTATCGTATTATATAATAGATTTATTATTGTAAAAGAGAGAATTTATTTCGTTCAAAGCAAATATAATGCTGTTATATAAAGCAATATGGAGTGTAGTAATATTTTACAGCTTTTGCAAAAAGTTTATACTATTAAAAGTTTATTTTCTGTGCATTCATCGTGTTGCATTTTTTAGAATTGTTGTTTCATCGTATATTTTATTTCGAAACGGAATGAAATATCCGTATTTACTAACAATAAGTTTATTTTTAAACATAAAATTGAATAGAATTTTGAGTGTTAAGGCTTATTCATTGTACGGTAAGAAATGGATATCAACAATATTTTCAGATCTGAATAAATGAAAAAGGCGTTACGAAGTTTAGAGATAATTGAATAGAAATGCAACGTGATGGAAATATATAATTATATTATATAATATATATAATATATATAAATAACATATAAAGATAAAATAAATTTCAGGTTATGACGGACCTTTCAACCATTTTTTGGAAAAATAGAATGATACTAAAGACAAAATCAGTATTCTCTATTTTTTGTTTAACAGATAATTAATAGTGTTTTATTGTTGAGTTAAGTATAATCATATAAAATGATTAAAATAACTGAAAACATAGATGTAATATTGTCAAATATTGTAATACAGGCAATTACAAAGCTTAATATCTCAAATACCTAAAATGTGTAATATCCTCGGTTGCATAATGTAATCCAATAGTAACCAAATTTTCAAATATTTGATAGCTGCCTGCTGCCATCTATTTTTCATGTAATATAACAAAGTGAAGTACTTACGTTCTCTCTGCCAGTGTTCGAATATTTATTATTTGTGACAAATTATTGGAGCATGCCAGCTTACGGTTGAAAATTTATTACAGTAGAATTAATTTTATGATTCCAACAGAGCACGTGCTCTGGATTCAAGTTCTATCATTGCGGGACAAATCCCTCACCTATTCCGGAATTAAACCAATATGCACTTAACTAATTCCGCGCAAATCTTGCAGCTTACTCGAGTACACATCCGCGGTGGGTATTCGACGCTTAACAATTCTAACTACGAATATTGGCAGCTCTCTAAGTTAAAGCCCTAATCGTATAATATCAGAACTACGTTAATAGTCCCATCTTTCATGTCCATAGATCACTTTACTTCAGTTTCATAAATTCTAGTAACCGGCAACCCAATACTGTGTATACAGAATTTTCTAACGATTTTCATTAATATGAAACCAACAATCAAACTGCACTGGTACTGGTATGGTGTGTAATTGTTTCTCGTGGCAATGCAAGTATCAACTTATATTAAAAACATGTTTACCTACCTTATATGATTGAGTAACGAAAAATAATATTAAATTGAAAAACAAGTTTATTTTATGTTGTTGATGTTTGCATTTATACATATCCCGGAAACAGTCAGTACCTATGTAACAAATTGATAGTTTTATTATTAGAGGTTATAATATTATCAGTAAACAAATTGAAAAATATAAGAAAAAATGTGCAATTAGTTTTTTTTCTCATTTGCACAATTAACTCATTAACATATTTACTAGTCCTGATTACCGGCCACCAATGTGGGTTCACCGACTTTTTTATAGATATTAAAAATCTGATTATTTATAAAATCGATATGTTTTTATGATTCTTCTCTCTAAAGCCAACTAGTAAATCATGACCAACTCGTGTTGCTACAATTATATTGTATGATCCTTATGTTATATATGACAAAATATATTCCATATTTTTATTCATTTATAAATACAATACTAATGCACTATTTTAATCTAGCGATGGCATAACATAATTGTTCATAGATTGAAATATTTAAGCCAACTAATTATTTTTTACATGCAACTCAAGACTTATATAGTTCCTTACGCTGTAACTTTATTTCGCTTGAATCGATTTTAATTCTAGATTCAGAGTTCGACATCGAAAATCTCATTATAATGTATTATAATCGACCGTTTATATGCAAATAGTGTCGTTTGGGTACTAAAATGCATGTTTAGTGTCTAACGATCTCTGGTGAATAGGAAATAGACGACGGTGTGGCGTCTAATGATTTTCCGAACACTGCTACTCTTACATGAGAAATTATTTGGAAAATGTTAAAGATTGGAAAATAGGATGTTATGTCCATCGATAGTAAAATACCATGAATTTTAAGAAAATTGAACGACTTCGTAATGGTTTCTAATTTCCACTCAAAATCTTTACGATTATATCTCGTTGCTTCAGATGGATGAACACAGCAATCAATGTATTATTATTTACAGAAATTGAATAGGTTATTCAAATAATGCCATTATACTCAATGAATATGATAAAATTAGAAGTTCCGAAACAATTATTCACCTGCAAATTATTCCAAAATTTATAATGTATAATTTAAACCTATTGTCTCCAGCAAATTAACTGCTGCTACCATCAATTATGTATTCAATTTTTGAAGATGATTCTTACTCCACACAAATTACTAATGTATATTACATAAACTAGTCTTAAAATTCATCGTTTAACTTCATAAAGGTTTCCAATTTCCACTCTACACATTTACAATTATATCTCGTTCCTTCAGAATTGTGAAGAATACAGCAATCAAGTATTATTTCTCACAGAATTTGAATACGCATTACTCAAACTTGTTGGAATCTTGTTTCGATGAATCGCACGAAACTTATTCAAGTGCAGTTGCAAAAGCGAACCTGATTGGCACTTGTTCGGAAAATCTTGTTCCTCAGACGAAGTGAGGAAGATTTGAACTGAAAAACCAAATGCAGACGTTGAAGAAGATTCTGATTTCTTCTGTCTTTTCGAGGTTTTGAAGAGCAACTACATTTTCTAATAAAATTTAATGAGTTGAAGTCACGTTTTGTTATAATATCTTTATTATTTGATTTAGTAGAATGTTATCTCAAATATAAAGCTCAAATTATTAAGCTCTGGTTTATTGTGAGAGCTTTCAATTAACACTTCTTGTGATAATCCATTTTGAAAATCTATATCGACTTTAGTGAATGAATAATTAACTATCCAAGAGTAATTACATCGATAATCGATATACATCGATAGAAGTAAATTGAAGAATCTGTTCAGAAACTTCTGAATATTTTATAAATTGATAATTTTAAACTACTTATTAACAGTTATTGCATATTGCTAAATATTACAATAAAATTTGTGAATCTTGTTGGACTATGGTTTTGATGTGTAGTTTAAAATAAATAAATGATTTTGATTTAAGTTTTAAGCTTTTTTAGAAATTTCTGCGAATTAAAGTGTTACACTCATTTTAATTTTTAAATTCATTTTTTTGAATACTGAAATATTTTTTGGAAGTTTTAGAAATCGAAATCACAAAGCACTATATCAGTCGCATATGTTTCAAAAGTTGTAATAAAAAGCAGCCGGCGTATACGTGCGTAGTCCGTCGTTTAGAATCTCTTCATATAAATTTTCTGCTTCTATAATCCTATTCAGTATATCGTTTTATTAAATTTCTGGACAATATTTGAGATAAGAATGATGATTTTTATTGCTTTTTATTTTAGAGCTTTTGTATTACATCTCTACCATAATTTTTACGAAACTTTAAACCTTCAGAATCCTATTCCAGATTAAACAATTAGTTCATTTTAAAAATACATAAAAGCGAAAAGGACACAATAATAACTTTATGTCATGAAATTTTTATTCGTAAAACAATCACGATTATGCTAATAGTGTGTATAAATAATTACGGATTTCTTATGAAAATAAGAGTTCAATGTTCTGACGATTTTTCAAATTTGCATTTTATTACATCCATAATTTATATTCAGTGCTCACATTTCACAGATGAATTTATTTATTTTAATACATTCATTGTGTTTTACGATGTCAAAAAACACTGTTGTTTGTTCTCAGATTTTCTGTATTAATGTTTCTTGAGTTACAATTAAATCTTATAGAAAATACTCTTTACTGATTTTCTTGGGATGTATAATTAAGCACACAATTAAAATATTGCTCTTACAACTAATTTAGCAAAAAGAAAATTCAATCAATCAAGAAAAATAATTTTCTTCTTAAGTTAATTGGATAAATAAAATCTTTGAATACGCTCTAAAAATATTTGTAGTTGTAATTTCAGTATCACTTATAATTAAATTTTGATTGCTTTACTGATATAGGTGCCATAAAATAATACAACTCAACTACGTATTTGTAAAACTTAAATTATTTAATTACTAAGATTATAATTTTAGTATTTAGACACTTGCTACACTTGCAATTCATAAATTTTATTTAATACAAAGCTGAAAGTTGCGCAGCCATAAATTTATGAAACTCATAATGTGCTCCGAGA